AAAAGCAAAAAAAAAAAAAAAAAAAAAAAAAGCAGACAGAGAGCAAGAAAGAAGCAGGAGAGAAAGAGAGAGAGGCGGATTCACAATTTCTGGGGCTTTTGACGATATCGCATTGTGAATTGGCCAGAGTCCAGAATCGGCCGAATGGCGCTCGCACGGCTCAGCTGTACGTCCGCGCTCCTCGCGGAATAATGCACCTTCCTCTCCCGGGGATCTCTCACGTCTGGATGACAGCGGCTGCCAACGACGGGACGTAGGGTGACGTCGGTGAGGTGAGGTACGTTGCCGGTACGGCTCGGCCGTATAGTGCTTCGAAGTGGTTTACAGTGCAGGTTGCAGGAGCACATCTTGGTGTGGAGCGTCCCCGCGAAACGTGACTCCCCTGGCCTGGATTCCCCGGGGGGAGACAGACGCGCACGGACGCGGTACGTCCCATCGTGTGATGCGATCGCGCTCGCGTGTCCCCCGACGATCCGCAGGAATACGGGCGAGGCTTGTCGCGCCGCGCGGCGCGTGTCGCTCTCGCGTTTTTGACACGCGAGCGAGACGTGTCGCCGTGAAACCGTTGGCCGTTGACGTAACCTCCCTCACGCGCCTCGAGGACGTCGGCGTCTTCAGGCAGAGAGGAGAATCGTCGGGATCGGCTCTTTGTCGCACGCGCGCGCGGATCGTCGTCGTGAATTATACGCGCGGATGAGTCATTGCCCCGTTGAACGACACGCATATTTTTTTTACGCCGTCGCTGTTAACGTCCTTTCCCCGAGAGCTCGTGCTCCGAAATTACGTTTACTTTTCGCATATCGTACGAGAGGTATACGTCCAGCGAATGTCTATACTTACGTGCTACCGTATTTCCAGTCTGTTTGTTTTATCTTGACTTGGTATAATATACTGTAACGTTATACGTTCTCCCTTTCATATATATATATATTCTATATTACATAAGAACTGAAAATATTGTCAAGCCGCTCGAACGGCGCGTTTTTGTGTCTCTCAATCTGCGATGTTTATGAAATATTTTTATGCCATTAAGGTATATGTAGAGGGAACTCGGTGATGCGACGCGTCTAGAATTTTACATATTGTTTATATAGGGCTGCTTTCCAAGAACACAAACGACAAAGTGTGCTCCGTTTTGCGCTTGTAAGAATTTTACTTGTTCTTGTTTGTGATAGACAGAATGAATTGATGCTCACATGCGCATTCACAGTGTAACATAGTGAATCATCTTTGTTTATCACTGTTAAACAAAGATGAAATGAGGTCTGTCTTTTTTTTATTCCTACATTAAACTGCATTATAACTTCCTTTCTTGTTTTCGCCAAATATCAAACCTATATTTATTTCACTTTAAGTTCCAAAAGTAAACGCTGGTTTAGCTACAGATAATAGACCTATGATTACTGTGTTATACAGTAGATGTGCTTTCCATTTGATGACACAAGTCAATATGAGCATTCTATGAAAGATAGAATTCTATCTTCCTTATAGTATTCAGAGAATAACAAAGATAGAACAAACACTTGTATTGATTTGTGTTATCAAATGTAAAGCATCCTGTATCTCAGCTGGAAAGCAACGAGCATTTACCTAGAAAGATCTGGCGGTCGTATATACTTACATATTTATGATATTTATTTGTTTAGAAAGTATGGAGCGTTCATCGGGCGTCGCAGTTACACCTCGCTCGAGTCGTTACTGCATTTAGCCTTACGATAGATCTCGATAGTCTTTAATGCGACAGAAACAGAACGTTGTTGAGGCACAGTAATCCAAACTCCTGTAAGGAGAGATGGATACGGTGTGCGATGAGGACAGGCGGAGACGCCTGTGGGCCTTGGAGGAGCGTATAAAGGATCCTAGAAGCGTCACGAATATCGACTGCTTGCTGGACACGGTTCAAGCCCTGGTAACAGATTGCGATCATGCCAGTGTGAAACGTATGAAAAACATAGAAGCTTATATGAATAGATGTAAGTATTATATGTTTATCTAATGTTTATTAGCTGTTTTTTGTTTTTGCACAAGGAATTCTAAGTCAAAGTTATGGGAATATTTTATATTCAGATAATGACATCACTACTTGCTTACTTTGGTGACGAGAGTACACTGAGAAAAATGTTCTAATTGTACCAACAAGAGGTACAAACAAAATAAAATTCTGATCATATTAATCCTAATTCTCGTTATTGTAACTGAATTTTTTCATATCGACTAAATATTTGATAAGTTTAACTATAATGTGTGTAATTTATATTTCTTTGATTGAATCTACTAGAATTCCAAGTAATGCAACAAGAATTTTTTCCAAAGTACTATTTATTGCAAGCATGATACTCACTGTCTTTTGGAATCTTCAATAACCATGTTATCGAGATTAATAATATTGGCTTATATATGTTCTCTCTTACAGATGACTCTGTAGCCCAAGAGATTTACAAAATGCGAATGCGCATGGACGATTTTACTTTGATAAAAGTAATTGGCCGCGGCGCATTCGGAGAGGTGCAGTTGGTTAGACACAAATCTACACAAAAAGTTTACGCTATGAAATTACTTAGTAAATTCGAAATGGTAAGATTCGCTTGCTCGCTCGTTTCCATTTGTTTGTCCAAGTTGTGTAAATGTTTCCCTGTATGTGGCTTTTACGCTATCTGTTTAGATTAAAAGATCGGATTCCGCATTTTTTTGGGAAGAAAGAGACATAATGGCTCACGCAAATTCACCATGGATAGTCCAGCTTCACTTTGCGTTCCAAGATCAAAAGTATCTTTACATGGTGATGGATTACATGCCGGGCGGGGATCTGGTTAACTTAATGTCGAATTACGAAGTGCCAGAGAAATGGGCAAAATTTTATTGTGCCGAAGTGGTGCTCGCATTGGACGCGATACATAACATGGGTTTCGTTCATAGAGATGTGAAACCGGACAACATGTTGCTCGATAGACATGGCCATTTGAAACTTGCCGACTTTGGCACATGTATGAGGATGGATGTTGTAAGTGTGCTGGATCTTTTATTTTTATTTTACATTTTAAATATTCAATATGAAATAACTTGTGTGATACGATCATAATAGAGAATATTTTGTGTAAGCATCCTAATGCTTTACTAAAATAAATATTTCTTTTGAAATTTTTACGGGTGCGTTCTATACAGAAACTATGCGAGAGTTATCTCTCTGTCCAGATCCATTATTAAAATGCCAACGTTTCGTCCACATTGCATTTCACTTTATGAGGCCGAGGAGCAGCCCTGATGCTAGTATGAAGTGAATTGCAATAATGATAAAAACATTGACATTCTATAGATCTCGGCATGAAGATAACTCGTGAAATGTTTCTATATATATAATAGCTTCTTTATAATAAATACTTCTATTGATAGTTAAAGAGACAAAAAAATTTTTGCAAGTTTGATAAAAGACTTTGAAAGAAGACTTTGATGAATAAAAATACTACAAATAAAAATAAAAATTTTCTCTTTTTTTTATCTTTTTCTGATATTCTTTCGACTATTTGTCTTGTAGGATGGTTTAGTGCGATCTGATACTGCGGTTGGTACACCCGATTACATATCTCCAGAGGTTCTGCAGTCACAAGGTGGAGAAGGAGTGTATGGTCGCGAATGCGACTGGTGGTCTGTTGGTGTATTTTTGTATGAAATGTTATTTGGTGATACACCGTTTTTTGCCGATTCTCTAGTTGGCACATATTCTAAGATCATGGATCACAGGAATTCGCTGTACTTCCCTCAAAATGTTGAGATATCTCACTCAGCGAAAAACTTAATATGTGGCTTCCTCACCGATAGAACAAAGCGCCTGGGTCGCAATGGCGTCGACGAAATTAAAAGTCATCCATTTTTTAAGAATGATCAATGGACCTTTGACAATCTAAGGGAATGCGTACCGCCAGTAGTACCCGAGCTTTCCGGAGACGATGATACCAGCAATTTCGATGATGTCGATAAGGAGGATGGACCAGAGGAGAGTTTTCCAGTACCTAAAGCTTTTTCCGGAAATCATCTACCTTTCATTGGATTCACTTATTCTGGTGATTACCAACTAATGGTTTCTTATGGCAAGGAATCCGTGGATGGTCTTGAGAATCACGTCAACAATGGTACTACCGACGATATCAAGATCTCGCAGTTAGAGAATTTACTGGAACGAGAGAGGCGGCAGGTGGAGACGATGGAGTCGAGACAGAAGGCACTAAACACGCAATTGGAAACGATGGCATGTCGAGAGGCTGAGCTGCGCGAGGAAGTTGGCAGGGCGGATAAGGAGTTGACACTACTCAGGCACAACTATAAAGAGGCGCAACGCAGAGTAGAGCACGAGACAGAGACTCGTCGTAAGGCGGAGTCACTGTTGGTCGAGGTAAAGAAGAAATTCGATGAGGAGCAGACAAGACGGGCGCGAGATGCTAGCAACTCGCAGCAGACATCCGAGCGAGTGACAACATTGGAGAAACAGATCAAAGAGATGCAATGCAAACTGGAGAGAGAAACGGAAACAGTTACGAGATTGCGCAAGCAAGCGACGGAGATCACTGTGGCGCGTCAAGCCGCTGAGCAAATGGCGAACGAGTTGCAAGTTGCTCGAGCTCAATTGCAAGCACAGCGTGATAACTTACAACAAGAAGTTGCTGGTCTCCAGGTATAATTTACTATAATAATTTCTTATTCTTTCTCTAATTACAAGACAGTTTTTAAAATAATTTCTATATGTGGATACATGTAAAATTCTGAAAAATTATTTATATTAGTTTTTAATATTTACAAAATGTACTTTGAAAGAAGAAACATCTTTTTTTTTCAAAAAGAAACTATTTTTCCCTGCATGAATTATTTTATTTGTTACAGGGCCAGCTTTCCAAGGAACGTAGTTCAAGATCGCAAGCATCATTATTGACGGCCGAATTAGAGACTCGTCTTTCTACTTTACATCTCGAGTTAGAACGTAGCCATGAGAAAGAGGAGAAGGCGACTCTGGACAACAGGCAACTAACCGAAAGAGTTTCTGCGTTGGAGAAAGAAGCTGCTAGTTTAACTTTGGAACTGAAAGCCGCGCAAGCCAGATACAATCAGGAAGTTATGGCGCATCAAGAAACGGAACGTTCGCGCATTCTTTCCAAAGAGGAAGCCAATCTGGAAGTTGTGAAAGGTACTTACTTCAAGTTTACATAAAATTAGAGATATTATATTTTTGATAAAGTATATTTTACTTTATCTATGCAATGCAGGGCAAAAGAATGGAATTTTTAAAGGTAATATATGTGATTTGTGAATTTATACATTTTTCTCTTTCGTAACATGTGTATCTAAATTATGTAATTTTACACACACATTGAAATTTTTCTTATTATACTAATCGTTTATCTATCTTCTTATTATTGCTGCGTATTTTTCTAATGGCACATCTATTTTTTACGTACGTATTTTTATTCTAATTTCTATGTATGAATTTAAGGAATATACACCATTAATTACATTGCACATATTGATTTATTAAATAGCTCTACAAGTAAAATTAAACGAGGAGAAAAGTGGAAGACAACGTGCGGAATTACTTGCACAGGAAAAGGAACGTCAAACGTCAATGCTCTCTGTCGATTATAGACAGATACAGCAACGATTGCAGAAATTAGAGGGTGAACACAGGCAAGAGATGGAGAAAGCCAAAGTTTTGCAGGGCCAAGTTGAACAGGAGCAGCAGAAAAGAAACGTTCTACAGACTGAATTAGGTCAGCAAACGTCCGAAGCTGGCAGACTTCGCGCTCGCGAGCAACAATTAGTCGGAGAAGTTGCTCAGTTGAGAGAAGCTAAGCGGCAAATAGAAGAAGAGTTACATCACTTGAAAACACAAAGAAATGTCGATCAGCTACAGACGAAGGAACTACAGGAGCAATTGGAAGCCGAAGCTTATTTCTCGGTAAATAATAAAATTTTGCTTCCACATGATTTTGATTATCTGACAGTAAAAAATAATATGAATGAAAAATGTTGAACGTGAGAAATGTTAAAATATAAAAACTAACGATTCAAAGATGCATGTGTTTATTATGAAAAATTGTCATGAAATTGAAATTTTTAGGGAAAGTTATAGCTTTCGTCTTTTTTTTTTCAGACTCTATACAAAACACAAACCCAAGAGTTGCGCGAAGAGTTGGATGAGAAAATAAGGTTGCAACAAGAATTGGAAGAAGAACGTAGCTCTCTTGTCCATCAGCTGCAATTGTCGTTGGCGCGCGGTGACAGCGAAGCTCTGGCCAGATCTATAGCTGAGGAAACTGTGGCGGACTTGGAGAAAGAAAGAACCATGAAAGAGCTAGAGTACAAAGACGGAGTAACTAAGCATCATCAAGAATTAAGTTCGAAGGAACAGATCATAAACAGACTTAAAGAGAACGAGAGTGAATTCAAAAAATCAGTTGATCAAACTCTGAAGGAAAAAGAAGACTTGAGCAAGCGATATAAGGAATTGCAGGAACAACTTGGTAAAGCACAATCCAACGTAGAGGAAATTGACAAGCTAAGCAGCAAGCTGAAAACGGAGCAACTATTGAAGCAGCAGGCAGTCAACAAGTTAGCCGAGATTATGAACCGAAAGGATCTTTCGTCAAGTGGAAAGAATAAGAATAAAGCGTCCGCCGCAGATCTGAGGAAGAAGGAAAAAGATTGCAGGCGTTTGCAACAAGAACTCACTCAAGAGAGGGAGAAATATGGACAACTGGCAGCTAAATGGCAAAAGGATTTGCAGGATTTGCAAGTAAGCGACTTATCATTGTTTGTATTGAGTTTATAGAAGGATGTGCCCCTTAGTTGACAAGTGGCATAAGTCTGCCTTAAGGGACTCGTATATAGAATTACTTGAATAAGTAGAAATTGATTTCTTTTTCTATAGGCGCAACTTGTAGAGGAGAATCAAGCGAAGCTGAGGTTGCAGATGGAACTTGACTCGAAAGACTCGGAGATAGAAACACTGCAAATGAAAATTGCGTCGCTTAACTCAGAAACTGCAAGTGTCTCGTCTATAGAGAATGACGACGGTGAAGACTCTGTCCTCTCTGAGCACGGTACAATGAGATTGGAGGGTTGGTTAAATGTGCCAAATAAGCAAAATATTAAGCGGCACGGTTGGAAGAAGCAATACGTTGTTGTTTCTTCCAAGAAGATAATCTTTTACAACAGTGAAAATGATAAAATGAACGCTGATCCAGTCCTGATATTAGACTTGAATAAAGTCTTCCATGTTAGATCTGTTACTCAGGGTGATGTTATCCGAGCCAATGCCAAAGATATACCCAGAATATTTCAGGTATCTACATCACATTTCTTGATTTTTTTGGATCGTTAGAAATTGTAATGTTTACTTTTTATATTGTAAATTATTCTTTATAAATTTTCTTATAATTTTTTTATAGCATATTAGTAATTTATAATTTTCATCTATATATTAAATTGTTTTTTCATATGCAATTCGTATATTCTTTATATTTTATAAATTTTTTTGTTATTTATTATATGTATAACATTTTGAGAAAGTAATTCAGAATCTAAAGGGTTTGCGTTTATTATTGTTATTACACGTATATTTCAATTTATATTGTTCACTAATTAATGTTGTACACAGTTACTCTATGCTGGTGAAGGCGAAGCAAGACGGCCCGGTGACGAGGGGAATACACTGCCTGGAGTGGATTTACCACAGCTCACAGATAAACCTGGTACTCAGTCGCTGAAAGGCCATGAGTTCGTGTCAATATCTTATCACATGCCAACGACTTGCGAAGTCTGTTCAAAGCAACTATGGCACATGTTTCGGCCTTCGCCAGCCCTTGAATGCCGAAGTGCGTGTTGCATTATAATTATTTATTTATACACCTATATATATATATATATATATATGCTTTTTCGTATTTTTACATTCTAAAATTGTATATAAACATTTGTTATGCATAGGGTGCCGTATTAAAGTTCACAAGGAACATTTGGATAAAAAAGAAGATGCCATAGCCCCGTGCAAACTACACTACGACCCGAATAGCGCCCGCGAGCTATTGTTACTCGCAGCTAATCCTGAGGATCAAAAGTATTGGGTCTCGCGGTTGTCCAGGCGCGTCCAAAAATGTGGCTATAAGGCGAACTCGCATGTGGATGGCACGGGACAGCGCGTCTCGCCAAGGTAGCGTAGCCGTGCTGCTGCTCGACGTGAGCGGGGACTAAGTAGCTCTCTTATTTTGTGACGTCGCATGATGTGGGTGTAGAGAGGTTAGACTCGTTTGATTTTTCTTTCAACTTTTCCCTTCTTTTTTCATTTCCATCCAACATAGTCTAATACATCCTGTTCCTTTTTGTTCGATGCACCACTCGGTATGTGCACAGTTGACAAATAGACGGACGCATCTTCAACGTTATTTAACATAAATTCGCTGTGAGAGAGAGAGAGAACTAGTAAAATTTTTTTATAAAAATAGAATAAGAAAATTAAGGCGAGTAAAGTAACATTATTAATTAATAAATATTTTATTATTAATGCAGACATAAGTTTTGTTTTTTTTTTCTTAATTATGATAAATTTTATATATATGTGTTTTAAATCTTCTATTGATTTTCCTATTTTATTTATATACTATAATCAAAATCCATTACTAGAAAGTACCTTATATAATAGCTTATCTCGCATGAAAAATATTTTCCGGATTAATCACAATTATGTAAAATTCGTCAATTGGGAAGAAAAAGTTTAATTATTTCTAGGCCAAATTTTGTATATATTTATGTATATATTAACATAATGCATGATATTGCGAACAATGATTAAAACTGATTGCGTAATTAAATCAAGTGTGTTAAAAACAATGTGTATCGATTAAGAATAGCATGTTCACATGTAGATGTTTCACGCACGAGGACATTTTAGCCTTCGACATTCATTATAAATCATTAGATTAGCTCTTGCACTATCTTTCACACACACAATTTGCACAATCATTCTATTACCGTGCTTTCGGTGCTTTTATGGCTTTGCAATGATTTTCCACTTGTGTTATCGGTTGAACGATATATTGTATAAGCAACGGATAACATTTTTCTTTTTAGGGAATCTACAAGGTCAACCTTGAAGCCGTACTTATCGGTGCAACAACGATCTGCAACATTACCAGCGAACGCTAGTATGGGCAAGTGATCCTGGAAGAGGCTAGTACTGGCGATTTAAAAAAAAACTCCGGTCACGATCTGATGTCCCACTTCTTTCGATAATGATGTCAGTGGAAATATCGAGCCATCGTAACCAATTATCATGACCTCGCGATTTTCTCTACGCACCTGATGACCGCAGTAGACTATCAATAATTTCCTAGATTGAGAGCAATCGAAATAGCGATCGCGATTGTAATATTACTATTTGCAGCTAAGAGTAAGTGTGAAATCCAAGTTCGAAAATCGCTGGAGAAAACAGGGTTACTTATATACCGGATGATAAACGGATATGATAAGGAATATGGGAGGAAAAGGAAAGACAGAGATAGAGTACCGTGTCCACGGACTCTTTGCACGCCATTGTCGTTTTCGGAACGATAACATAGAATCACAGAGATAAGCTGTGTTCTTCGGAATTGCTAAGATAGTTTATTCGTGAGCGACGATAAAAGTGTAATAATCTTTTTGTACATTGTATTCATCATACTCACGATAGACTGTAGAATATTTTTTCGAAGGATAATCGAATTTCTGTGATGATTTTCCTGATTGGAACATACTCGACTTTGTACGCACATTTCTTACTGCCTTTGATAACGACGAATCTTGATGGAAACTTTTTAGCTTAAGTCATTTTTTGGATGCTTTAAACTGAAATTTCGGAAACTTGTATTAAAGAAGAGTATAGTATTTTGAAATTGTTTTATATATACATATATATACAACGTTTTCCGAGACTGTGTGTCAGTAGATACACGTAAGAGTCTTGTTTTTAACATAACTTGCGTCTTAGAACGGATTTATTTAATGTCTGATATTTGAAGTATTTCTGGACGAAGTTATGTTTTCTCGGGAAGATATAAATGACTGAACACGCGTCCGAGGATCAACATTTTTATCAAAGTTTGGCATGTGAGTCGGTTCTGCGGACATTGCAAAATTGACCACAGCATATAGCGCGTATAAGGAATATACCAGCTTTTGTATAGTAAAAATGATTACGGCTGTAAGATGGACTTTCTAAAATAAGTCATTATCTAAGCTTTAAGTCTTAAACTATGAGAAATTGACCAATCATTCTTCTCACATTTGACTGTGATTGATTAATATTTTACGATTTAAAACTTGGGTAGTAGCTTATCGTAGAAAATCCATAAGAATTTTTATTATGATGATATACATGAGCTAATGGTGTCCGCTGAATCACGTAGAGAGAGAGAGAGAGAGAGAGAGAGAGAGAGAGAGAGAGAGAGAGAGGGAGGGAGGGAGGAAGAGAAAGAAAATGCTAAGAAAATCATGCATAATTGAGAGGGAGCGATAAAAGCGATAGAAGTGATAGAAGCTTCGTCATGGTGCCATCGGCTTTGCCATCTTTGGCATCGAAGAAAGCTATAAACAAGAAATAAGAGGAAAAGTAGAAATGATCTTAGATTTATTATTAACGCGTCATCGCCGTCTGTGTTCTTTCCAAAATACCTCCGCGAAACATCGTGCCGCTCCGAGACTCGTCGGTATGAAAAGAACCGCTTACATCGACATTAGCTAACTACAGTTATGATGAACTCTATAAATTCTTTTTCTCTACAAATTTTAAATTTACAATTATCAAGCGAATAATGATTATATGTGTTTTTTTTCTCTTACAGAGTTGGAATCTGGAAAGAGATTCGTCTATATTTCTAAAAAGAACTATGAAAAGTTTTGCTTTTTTCCAAAAATGATATTTCAATTAATTTGGATTTATGGATGATTTAAAAGAGTCAATGATCAGACTTGAATTAAACAATAGAAGAAATCAAAGAAACAAAGAGAGAGAAATAAGTTGCAAGGTTGTTAGTTTTATTTATTACAGCATTTTTTGATTAATTAAAAAAGCCTTTTTATTCAGATTATAATTAGATTTAAAAAAAATCTCTATTTGTATTTAAGTAGAATTAAATTAAGAATTGAGAGTTCCTAAATGGAAATAGTTAACTACATCTTGTCGGTGTAAGTGACTTCAAGAACTCAGCGAGACGTCCCTCAAATGGTGCTCCTCCCTGTCCTATTCATCCTTTCGGTTTGACGAAGCAGTGAAAATGAACGAGAAGCTGCCGAAAGCTTCTCATCGCGGTGGTAATTGAAAATAAAAGTACGAGGGAAAGAAAAGGAAAGGTGCATATTGAAATCGAAAAGAAACACCATCCGATATACTGCCTCGTGCCTTCTTCATTGTTTCGATCTTTCATGAAGCGGAACTAGAGGAAAATTGACAATGAGAAGGAGAGAAAGTGTGAAAATGAGAATGAAAATGTGAGTGAATGTGTATGCATGAGAGAGAGAGAGAGAGAGAGAGAGAAAGGGAGGAAGAACTTGTTACAGCATATTTTATTATTGTTTAGTTATTTACAATCTGTATATTATTAATATTACGATTAAAAGTATTTTGTAGATAATATGTGGCTCTTTGATGGTACTTTTATGACTGACTGCGCAACCTTCAGTTCAATTTGTTGTGATGATCATGTTTTAAAGCAATTTTCTCTATTTTTTAAATATTATTTCAATTATACTACGATCGGTGGCTTAAAAGCGGTCTTTATTCTCGATTAACCATGGACGAGTAGAATTCGTTTCACAGAATTAATCGAAAGTCCTAGGTCTTGAGAAAATATCTCCAACAGTTAAGAACTGTAAACTCGTTATCATCTTTCTTTATTTTCAATGAAACTGTTTCTCATTTTAATTAAATAATTTCGATATTTTTGAAAAAGATATTGGCAAGCTGGATATACTCAATCTAATCTCATTTGTGAAAACAGTTTTTGAAAGACATCTTGTTTTTCCCAAAACACACGCATGGATTATAAAATTCTAATGTAACTGCTGATAAATGATATATAATACAATGCTAAAATATGTGAAAGAGTTAAATAAGCAAAATTTAAGTAATCTATCTTTGTAAATTTACTTAGAAATCGATCAAAGATCTAAAGATAAAAATTATTTTTAGAGCATTAAATAGAAATTTTTATGCATGTGAATTAGTGTATGAATGTTTATATCCCATTTAAAACATATTTCTCAAGTAAATTATTTGTATTAACTAAAAGTAAATTGAGGATCTAAGACGATTGTGTATGTGTACCAACGTTACTCTGACTTTAAGCGAAGCTTATAAATCTCACTTTCTTTTTTTAAAACCGATGGAGAAACAGAAAGGAAAAAATTTTAAGCTTTGCTTAAAATTAAAGTAACGTTGGTACAATCGGGCTTAGAAGAAACGAAGCTAATTGCAGCTTAAATTCGTTATAATTTATTTCGTCTACATTTGAAAATCCTGCGTGTGAATGAGATTATTGTGTGAGACCAGCATGCAAAAATAACACGATGCAAGAATCGAATAATCCATATCAATGAAAATTTTGATTTCAAATTACAAGTCGTCTTCGTATTTAATCGTCATTGCATATACGAATTAACTTTTTAACGCTGTGCTCGATCAAATCTCTATCCAATTATGCTTTCGTAGCTGCTCTATGTATGGACTAATCGCTTTTTGCATACTAGATGCATACTAGATCACCTATTTGGATATGTAACGCGGTTTTCGTTCTCCACGGTCGTTGCATTCTCTTCACCTCCACATTAACATTTATATTCTACTTTCCCGTGCGCGCGCAATGTGTTATTTAAAGAAAGTATATTGACTTTCTTTGTTGTTCGCGACAGTTAAAAACTTATATAATATTTATGTATTATCGGTTATCGTATTACCAATATCTTGTGCAGTCAAGCCCGATAGGATGATGAATTTATACGTGAAGTATTTATTTAAGCAACTGACGGCTTCTATTGGCGGATCTAGAGATCTACCGAAGCAAGGATCATACACATTCGAATATTTATGGAATTGTTAAATTTATAAATTTACGGTTTTATAAGTTACAGAAATTTGTGTGTGTTGTTCAGAATACTCTATACGCAATTAAATTAATCACGACTTTACGAAATATTCAACATCACATCAACGCACACGTGAACGACTTATACATTGGACGACCGGAACGAAGCGCTCATTAAGCACCACGTGAAATCTCGATACGGCAATAATTTGATATAAATCTTCGTTATATGTACAATACAACAGAGAAGGGATTCGTTCTCGCTATTGATACGCTATTATTTAAAGGCGAATACTCGATAAACACATGCATGCATGTCACGGGTCGCGGGACATAATCTGACATATGAGCTTAGGGGGCCGAGTGAATATAGACGAGGAGAAAGAGAGAGATGGAGAATCTCAAACGGTGGGATACGAACGAAGAATCGTTGCTTCCTTCGCTTATGCAGTACGCACATTATACGTAAATTTCTATTTCCACGTGCTTAACGATAATTAACGAAGCTGTAAAAATTGGAAATTCAGGGAAAGGTATCTGCTGCTCTCTCCCTTCATCAGGGTGAAAACGATTCCACACCGTTATCAAAGCTGATTGTTATATTTTTCAAAGTTTTCGAGCACGCACACCACGGCTTTTCTAACGCAATCATTTTTTTTTTCTTCCAAGCAAAGTTTTCTCGTGTCACCTTTCGTGAAAAAGAGATTTTTCATCCTGCTTCTCCCGAAGAAGCTTTCTTCAATTTTTTTTTCTCTAACGAAAATTCCATTATCGAAGAAAGTTTCTTCATTTCCTCTCTTTTACCTTCTTTGCCGAAATAAGTTCTTTTTCTTTTGCTTTTCTCAAAGGAAAAATTTCTCAAATTCTTTTCTTTCTTCGCTTTTTCACGTCTCTAAAGCTCGTGGTGCCCCTCTTCGCTCGGAGTTTAATTTCTAACGAGACTGCACAGTCTCGTAGCGAAGGATTATTTTCTTACGAGGGCAACCAGACCGCGATTCAAATGCGTTAATTTCGGTTTCATCGACAGCTTCGTCGGAGCTGGAGAGGATTGCTGATGGTTCCGGTTTGCCGCCTGTTGCATATTTTGATGTTTCTTCTTCAACGATTCCTGTTTGGCACCTCTGCATAACAAAATTGTATTTAATATCCTTTTTTTTTTCCAATTGCTATATTTTTTATGTTAATGTCAAAATTTATAATCAAAATTTCGTTAATAAAAAATGCTTTTTACAAATACAGAAGTTATAATAAGTTTTGCATCTTTGTTAAGTTTGTAAATAAATTTTGTGAAAACCGACGAAAACAATTAACTAAAAAAATAAATAAATAAAATTTTACATATTGTTTTTATGAAAGAAATGGTATAACATCTTTATAGACTATTATTTTTAGGACTCACAAATATCGAGTGAGATCTTCCACGTCAACGAGCATTGAATCTTGCTCCATATGCAAATCGTCTCTCCTCAAAAGACCTTCGACGAGCGCCTCGTTTAATGCGGCAATCCTCGCGTGCAAATCATTCGCTACTACCTGCAGCTGCGCGACATTTAACTCCGTGAGAAGTACACGGGACAACCTGCGTCTGTCCTCCCCCAGCTGTACACCGACCTAAAAAAATATGCAACATTCAAGGATTTACTAAATAAGAATGAAAACAGATTTCAGAAAGGAATCTCATACGGCGTATTAAGATTATATTACAGATTCTAC